GCAACCCACTGCTTAGACAAGGCTGATCTGATCGCCGTAGGAAGGTGTCTAGAGCTGTTCAGTGAACAGCAATAGTAATTTTTAGGTGAGAAATGCACCACAAACCCCTTGACCTTGGTGTGCCTATTCATCCCTGAGGATATGAATTTCATTTTCTCTTTGTCTGTAACAGCATGCTGGAAAATAACAAGGCAATGCTCTGGATTCGTCTCGGGTGAGGGTCATTTATAAGGTACCAAGTTGCTCTCAAAACAATTCAACTTCTGCATAACAGCGAGTCGGTAAGCATGAGATTTTCTGCTATATTTCTGCCAAAGTCTGTGAGTACAAGAACATTTCAATATCATGGTTTTTCTTTATCTGATGATGACACTGTTCAAAAGGGAGTGGGGTTGAAGCAAGGGATACAAAGTCATGCTTGAATAACTTTAATCATTAATAACTTGCTGCCTTATAATTGGCTAAAAAGCCTCCCAGGTTTCAGTTGTTAGTTCAATGGATTAACAACACAAGGACACTGACCTGTCGTGTCTTTGCAGAGGAACTTGCTGAGCAGAGATGCAGGAGCAATGAGCTCATTATGCATCCTGGGCAGGGGAGGATCAATCCTACTTCAGAGAGGGAAGATGGAGAGCAGCAGTGGTAGAATTAATGGAAAAGTTTTTGGGGGTTTTTTGTTTTATGCATTCTCTAAAATGTGAAAAAAAGAGGGCTCTGAGGGCTCTGTGTTAGGTCTCAAAGCAGAACTAGGTGTGAAGCCAGCTTGTACCATTTTAAGGGAAAAACACTACTCTTAAGAATTATTTTGGCTTGCCAGACAGAAAAGATGCCACAACTGAACAAGCAATGGATTTGATCCATATCGGCTTTGGGGAAAGAAAAGATCACTACAAGAGTTTGCCAAAAAAGGAGATGCTTTACTGAGTAAATAATTTACTTCCATTCCTGGTTTCCATAAGCAGTAAAAGAAATCTGATTTTCACCATCTTCTTTCTGCGGTTAAGATAAGTGACAGATTGTGGCAAGGTGTTTGCTGTGGGGCACCAACACAGCGCTTGTGGATCAGCACACTCAGGTTCTCTGGACCACAAGCTAGAGTTGAGCAAATCGATTGCTCCGATCCTGGCATTACAACTGCAGAGCTCAAAGAGGTCAGGCTGGTTCCTGGTTTCCATCAGCCAGGGCCCTGGCTCAGAGACTAATGACCCTACTAAAATTTAAACTAAAGAAAGAATTTGACCAAAGCTCTGCAACTCTAACCCAGTCAGATTGCCGTCAATTTTTACTATTCCTACTGGCAGGATCAGACTCTTTAAGCTAAAGCCAGCTGATGGATCAGTTCTTCAATTGGAAAATGCAGTTGTATTAAATTTTGAGAGTACAGTTTGATAGCATTTTTCAAAGGGAAGAAGTCCAGCTGGCTTGTTCTAACAGTGTCAAAATGCTTTTTGCATTTATGTTCCAGTTTTATTCAATAAATGAGATATTGTGCATTGTAGGAAATGTACTTTTTCTAATACATGACATTATAACAATAAAAAGATTTTGTTGTTTTGACTCAACCTATATGAAGTTTTACTGAATAGAAAGTTTCACCATGCTGGCTCTTAGTTTTTGTTTGGAATTGAGAATAATGCCAGAAAAATCACTGTTTCCTAGAGAACAACAACAAAAACACAGTTTTCAGACCAGGTCTACCACTGATATTGATTGGAGAGAAACTACGGAGAAAATGGAAAAGATCTGGAAAAAGTAGGCAACATTGCTAAAGCAACAGTGTTTATGACATGTTTCTATTAGTATGATAGCTCATACTGCTCTGTCAGATGTTAGGTTGGCAATTTACAGGAAAGTTACTGCCTAGTAATGAATAAATTTTCTTATCTAGCATATACAGATGTTTTCATCCCTATTGCATATTTTAGAGTTTATACCTTGACCTACTCTCATATCTGAGCAACACCCACACAAACCAAGACTCAAAGAGAATTCCCTACTGAAATTCAGTTTTGGTACTTGACTCATCAGGGTCCCTGCTGTAAAGAGTGTGGTCGTGTTCTGCTCTGACTTTGGCATCCAAAAGTTACACCTCATGAGACCAAGCATCATTGTCAGTGGAGACAGATGGACTCGAAGGCTCTCCCAAAGGCACACATTTACCACTGACTTCTATTTCATCAGGAAGACTAAGGAAAGTAAATACCAATCTGTGACAAAACAACCTCTGAAATGTATTATTTTCTTGAGGAAAGTACAGACAACTTTAGTTTTAAGCAAATCCAGAACTGTTTTGGGGGAGATGTTTGGCTGAAGGCTCCCAAATTAAATGCCAGTCTGGAGATAGGCTTTACCTGAGTACACAGCAAAGTTCCTGCTCTAAGGAAGGAAACTATGTCGACTTACAAAAGACTGGCATTTTGCACAGCAGAACTAATATAATGCCATTACTTACAGGCTGTTACAATAAAGGACTGTGGATTTCTTATTTGAGATGCAAAAATGCTATTTACTGCGTTCATTTTCCCTAAGTCTATAAACTAGACCCTCAAACAGTATCAAAGCTCTAGGTTCAGCACTTGTTCCTTTTTTATGAATGGTAACAACATAATTACAGAGCTCTGGCCTTCCACTGACTCAGAGACTTTCCTGGGAAAGCTTTACTCGAGGACAGATTGCTCACACACATCCATCACATAGGGATTTCTTCTGCTTTCTATATTGCTGTTACTCATAATGTACCTCACACAACACTTGCTTTGGCTAATTTGATGCAAAGACAGTTTTGCATTTTTTTGATGCACAACCTCCAGTTTAACCACAACTCCCAATTTACTTGAATCCTGCTTTTTCCCCCATTTATATCACTACACTCCAAACCACTTAGCTAAGGAAGTAATAACTTTTGAAGAAACAGAAGCATAGAAAAACCACAGTGACATAGCCACCATCACGCAGGTGGTAAGTAGCAGGGTACAGCTTGTCCCAGGCGTGTGTGCAGTTGTCCAAGCAACGCTGCATCCAGTATTTATCTGTCTGCTATTCAGGGCTTTACAGAAAAGTAAAAATAAACCCAAATACCAGAGGGTGAAATGTGAGCTGAAGGCTGTGAGGCTGCTGGAGATGGTCAGAATTTACTCATTTTCTACAGCACAAGAGGGACCAATATCACTTCTGTGGGACAGCAGCTAAAAGGGGTTGAATGGTGGCCAGTGAATGTTCTTTCAAATACATTTGCCATGCTATCATATAACATAGCCTTGTGCATACCTTGCAGCTGTATTTCTACTTGTGATTTGCAGCCAGTCCATTTTTGGCTTGTGTAAGATCAGCAGAATGATGAATATTTCCAAGCATGTGTCACATCAAGAAGAAGTAAATGTATATCTATATATATATATATATATCTTGCTTTGTATTTAGGAATCAAAGTCCTAGGGAGAGCTGCAGGTATACACAGGAACAGCAGAGAAGAAGATGTTTTCCTAACCTTGAAGGTGTGCTGTAACAGCATCTGTTTCATCACAGGGCAGTGACACTGTGGCAGTAAGTAGGCAGTGACACTGGTATGCAGTGACAGAGATGCTCAGAAAAATGAGGAACAGCATCCAAACAGCATTTAGGGACTTTCAGAAGGATTTGCACTGATTGAACATGGCTGATCAGGAGATACCCATGGGAATAGAGAAGTCCATAGCCAACAGGTCGTATGTCACGTAATAAATTATTTTCAGCCTTCCCCCAGCCCTGTCAAAGCAAGAAGGAATAGAGCAGATGAATCACATGTGACCTTAATAAAGTTTGATTTTGGCTGGTGAAAGCCATGGCCAATGTTGGAAAGCCCATTGCAAGCTGTGGGTATGGGATGCTCAGGGCAGAGCCGCAGCTCACCGCATTGCAGAGGCTTTGGGCAGCCTCCACCTGCCCGTGCTGCTCCAAGGGCTCTCCAGCTCTTCTTGGACTATTTCCCCATGCTGTTTAATTACAAGATCTTTCTGGCTCCTTACACACTCCCACACTTGGGGTTCATTATCTGAGCCCTCTATTTCCCCATATTCTCTGCTCTGAGTGGTCCCATACAAAACACATGTTAAAAATTCACAATTGCACCAGAGCTCTTTTTATACTCAAGCCAACAAGCTTGAGTATAAAAAAGTCACACATAAATACAGTACACACAAAATCTAGTTATAGCTGGGAGGTTCTGAAATAGGTGTAGCATGAAGGCAAAGGAAAGGAACTGATTTTATGAGTACATTAGCAGGGAGAAACACCAAGCAAGGAACCCTCCGCAGCAGTGACATTTGGAGCCTAAATCAAGATGACACCCACAAAGAGACAACAGAGAGATCTTGCTGTTCCTGTGATTGCTGTAACTGCCATTAGGACGCCTGCCATTCAGCAAAGCAACTGCTGTTGTCTTTGGGAGCACCAATTCAAGATCCGCTTCAATGGCTCTAATTTAATAGTAAAGTCATCAGAGGTTGAAACCGGGAACTTGGCAGGCATGACTGGGAGAAGAGGGCTTTTTGTGTGCGAACCACTAAACCTCCAAATTCCTTCTGCAGCTCTGCTTCCCTCAGTAATTTTTTTCCAGGAAATGTACAGCCTCAGCATGTCAAAAATGAGCAGCATGGATAACCAGCCAGTGTTAAAATCAGAGAGGTTTGTATTGAGCCACAAAGCCAATTTGAGAAGTTTAAGAAGCCAAAGGAAGCAGAGCCCTCCCTTCTGCTGTTTTCACGGATGCTCCCGTGGAGCTGGACCCTGGGCTGCAGGCTGTGCCCTCACATGCTTGGTTACGGGCTCAGGCAGCAACCTTCAGGCTCAGGCAGTTTGTTGAAACTCACGACATCTCATCCAGGTATCACGGAGGTCCTGTACCTCTGCTGAGTCACAGCCTGTTTGCCTTCCCTGAGCCCACTGTGAGCACGAACCAGGGTAGGCCAGCGTTGGGCTGTGCAGACTCAGAGCGAAGCCTTTAGGGGCTGCCAAGAACTTACCTAGCCCATACATCACCCATGCCAACAGGCACAGAGAGGGCCACGCAGGATCCAAATGAGCCAGCACCTGTCTGGGCGCTCTGTAGGTCACTACTAAATGCCACATGGACAGCAGCAGCAATCTCTTCTTTGTCATCCTCTGATTTGCATCTGAATTCTGTGTTAGGCATATTTTCATTTTATATAGGCTACCACTCCACCCACCTATTTTTCCTTGGTGACCCATCTTTGAGTGTAATTTTTGTATGCCTGTGGGCACTTTGCGTCACTCACGGACTCATGGCAGTTTGGCCAACCAGTGAGCCCACAGCAAAGCCCAGTGCAGTGAGCTCTGCCTGATCCCAGGGAACATCGCTCCCTCAACCTCATGCTCTTCCAGCTGTCATTTAAATAAAAGCTCTGGCAAGCTTAGCAAGCACGACTGCTGCAGAAGCTTCCCAGGGCTCCTTTGTCAGGCAGACAGTCATGATGCAATTAACACATTTTTCAAAAGGACAGCATATCCTGTTAGTCTTTAGCTGGTATTTAATATGTTAGGATGATGTGTTTTGCTGGGATGAGCAGTGAAATCAAGCTTTGGCATTTAGATCTAGTGCCTACAATAGTTTTACGCACCAAAATTAATTCAGGATGTGACCATACCTGAGACACGTTACAGTGCTGAGTTTCAACCCCACAGCACAGGAGACACAATTCTCCATTCCTGTTTACAAACACAGGAATAAATAAATAGATCTGCTGATGGTGAATTTTGCTGCAATGGAGTTAAATCTTTGTGATAAAGATGGAGAAAGGGAGAAGCTTGAATGCTCAAGTCCATACCAGAGTGCCTGCCATGGGGACAGGAGCGGGGCCAGGCTGGTCTCCAGCAGTGCTGGCCTGAACAGGCCCTAGCTGGTAAAGAACAGAAATAACCTCTTTAGTCAGAATGGTTTTGTTCCCTGTAAACCACTTGTGGAGCCCTGGTGAGAGTCAAACCCAGGAACTTGCGCCTGCTTCTCCCACATACCCATCACTGGGCTATGGCTATTCCTGGGCTGTGGCTATTTCCTATATCCTCTTCACTGTCTTCATCATTCATATTGAACATCTCTGGGGGAAAAATCTTTTTGAAAAACTCACATTTTCCAAAGAACTCAGTCTTCTCTGAAACAAAACAGAAAACCCAACCAAAATTAGCTCTTCCATTGATGCTACTATAAATACAAGCAACACAAATGCATCCCCTTTTTCTCCCATTTATCTTCCTGTGGAGTCTGCAGAGAGGAGGCAGGATTCTGCAGACAGAATCTGCTATTCAGTTTATACAACCTTTAAAATAAAAACAAAGTACTTTCTGGAAGGGCTCTGTAACTTAAGGGTGCCTACGGCTGATGCTGTACCACACTCTGCTGAGCTTTAGGGAAAAGAAAAGAAAACACAAGTGACTTTGAGCACCACTCCTACTGTAGCTGATATTCTATTTGGATTAAACATTTCATTTACTCTGTCACAGTGACTGTGACCTTTTCAACTGCAGTTTGGCTCTAAATGACTGAAGTTCTTCACATTACACACACGAGGGGCAACAGACTTGTTCTGTCAAAGAATGAAAATAGCTCTGTGGGTATTTTCTCTCCCTGTTTTGCAGAGATATAACAGTGAACGCAATAAAAAGTAATGGTGTGGAAGAGATCATGCTGCTGCTTTCCAAGGGTCATGTCTCCATGGCTGGTGAGAAACTCTGGAGTTTCCACCATTTGCTGAATTAAAAAGCAGTGATCGGCAGCAGCCACCGTGCAATCTGAAAATGTGCTGCACTGGTTCCGTGCCTCCAGAGTCAGCATAACCTCTGCAGAAAACTCAGGTTATGCTCCTGGGGCTGAACTTCCAGAAAAAAAAGTGCTCTGAGCTGGGTGGGCTCTTGAAACCTTTGGCTTTCTTCATTGTCCAGGGATTGCTACTTACAAGTGGCTTGGAATTAAATGATCGGGAGAATGGCCCACCCGTCCCCTGCTCCCAGACACCGGCAGCTCCCATCAGAAGGGTGCATTGCCAGAGCTCGGAGGGAGGATAGAGATGCTTCCCTACCCTCTGTGTAGGCTGATGCCAGTGATTTTCTTTCTCTCCCCTCAGAGATCTGAGGCACCTTCCTCCAGAAAAAAGAAAGAGCATAGGTTTTTCAAGTCACTCAGCATTAGTGAGCCCCAGGGGTTATTATATTGGTTGGAGCAGTAATAAAACCCATTTTCATATTGCACTTCTCTCATTTTTCATATTATCTCCTTGCTAAAGCACTTCAAGGAGAGAAGGAAGACCCCTCTCTGGATGCCATAGTTCTCTGAGGGACAGAGAGAGATGACACTGGATGCCTCACAGAGACACACACAGCCCAGAATGCCTGGGAAAAGAGACTGGAGGAAAGGGGACAAACAATATCACTCGATGGTTTCTTCAGGATGCCACAGGGTCACCTGTGGGCACAAATAGGCACATCCCTGATCATAGCCAGCAAAAAGCAGAGCTGAATGCACCTGAATGGCTTGGGGCTGTGATCCAGCACAGAGGAGATAATGTGGAGGCAGAAATGATGGAGTAGGGATGAGAAGGGACAATACAATCTCTTTTAGTAGCTCACTGGCTTTAAGTGCTTGTTGAACTATAGTCCGATTTTAACACACAGAGATACTCTGTTGTTCAGGATTGAATGGCCTAGGAGTGTGCACAGACCAGGTCAGGTGTGCATGGAGTCATGTCATCAGCAACAGAAAAGTACTTTATGGTCCTTTGCAAACTTGTGAAATCCCAGCTGACAAGAGACCACACACTTTTCCAGCCAAGGGCTGCCAGAGTTTCTGCAAAATGAAGCAACTGGAGAATACTATCTAAAGAAAAAGGATCAGGAAGCAGAAATCATTGGAGATGGTACATCTGATATGATATGCACAGCCAGTTCAGTCTCAATGCAGGCAGTATCATCCCATGGATGTTCACCAAGCATCAATAGTCTTGGCTAGAATAGCCATGAGGCTCGATACTTGCATGGATAAGCTGGAGAGTTGTGAAATTGATAGGCGTAGTTCACTGAGACCTCTCAGAGGAATGTGAACAGGACACCAAAGCCAGGAGAATGGGGAGGCTGAAGCATTCTTCTCCTACAATGCTGGTGGCAAAAGCCAGAGGTCACCAGACAGAGGTCGAAGTCCAGCCATTAGATAGCCACAGAAATAATGACCAGAGGAAGCAGACTAAGCTGAATTATGATATGGGCCATGATATATAGCTTCCTACTCTAGAAAGCAAACTGAGGGAAAGAAAACTGAGGAAATCCAGTACTAGAGAACTCACATGGTCATGTAGCAGGTTGGCAATAAAGGATCCAGTCAATCTAACATGGGGGTCAGCCTTACTTTGAGAGACTAGTCCTTTATGATGGACTTCATGGACTCGTCCTTTGAAACAAGCACCCAAATTCCTCATCACACAAAAGGAAGGATGTTCTTTCACAGGCTTCCAAAGGGAGATCCAATCTGCCTAACATATATACCTACATTCATAATCCACTTGACTAAGTGCTCATAGCTGACACAAACTTACAGCTACCGCAGCTGTTGGCTCCAGAAGGTCAACAAATGCTTGTGCCAACACTGACAATGATCTGGGGATGGAGAACAGCATGCCATACCACAGGTGATGACTGATGGCCAAGGCAAACCCCACCAAAGGGCAGAAGGGTTTTAGTGGTCAGCTCTCCTTTCTCACATTTATTTGTTTTAGCACCGTGCAGAAAGAATGCACACACACAGTTAATTCACCTGTATACTCTGACTGGAAAAGCAATTATGCTGCAGGTGAATAATGTTTCATATTAAAGCACAGAGTGTGAGGGGAGAGCCAGGCTTACCTCCTACGCACATATCTTGTGATATCAGTATGTGTGACTCACCCTTCAGCTGTTCCTATAAGAAACAGAGTGATATTTCATGCAAAACCTATCCAGAGACTTATTTGTCTTCAGAAAAAAATGTTCTCATGCCTCCTTCCCATTGTTGTTTTATTGGTTTTTTGGTTTTTGTTTTTGTTTGGTTGGGTTTTTTTTAATTCAAGCTTTATCTCAAGGTAATGTGTTCTGCCCAAAGCTTTTCACACACTCCTAAATACCATACAGGTATGTGGATTCACTGTGTACTTATTCTTTGTGCTTTCCTATCCATTTCCTCTCTTTATTTGCAGAAGCAATTTTCTCTTAGGAAAGACAGGGATATTTAACTGTATCTGTAGCCCTTCCGTGCTTTGCAAGGCTTTCCATCCTTATTCTTGTCTCTTCAAAACTTAATTTCTCTGCACCAAGAAACATGGGCAAGAACGTTCTGTACCCTGTCTGTAGCTCCCGCTCATCTCCTGCTGTTTTTCAATATTGTGGGTGTTGTTTTGCTTCCCAGGATAGAAAAAAAATGTTTTTCGTACTTTATCACCATTATCGTAAAAACTGCCAAGAACTCCTTTGCAGACTGTAAAATCTACAGCTTGTAGATGTGCAGTCTGAACTTGCAATGGTTAGTTATACAGTGATTATCCGTAGCAATTGTGAGCTTGTTTCAGAGTCCAGCTATTAGGCAAACAGGCTGTTCATTTTGTGCATATTTGAAACATTTTGTTAGATTTTGCCAGTAGATAATTGTTGTTGATTACTAGTCTGTTATCATGTCTAAAGAAAGACATTTGTGTGGGCTACTTGCCACAGATACACTGATTGCCATAAAAAACTCAGCAAGGGTTTCAGTTATTTATCACTGTTTTCCCATATTTAGAGGAGATGGGATAGCTTTTGACAAATGAGGGCTCTTTTATGGCTAAAGGATAATTCAGTAATTCTCCAGCTATGTTTAAGTTAGTTAGCCCTATTGCACATGTCAATTATGTTCTCAAATTTTAGGCTTTGTCATCACAGTCAGCATTTTGCCTGGCACTTTGTGGAACTGCAGGGGATCAAGATCTCTGCTCTTCTCATCCAACTTCTAATTCAAGTGCTAAAATGGGAGCAACGAAACAATGTGCCACTGGTAAGTGGGGCAGAGTTATCAGGTCACCCTCGCATTGCAAGGTGAAATTGCAGGAGATGCGAAGCTCTTGGGCATGTGAAAGCTCCTGGAGCTAAGCTGATGAGAGCACAAAAGGGTGCATGTGTGAA